GGGGGGGTGTGGGTGGTGGTTTGTTCTCTCTGTACATGTGCAATGGCTGCGTACAAACCAGTGTCTCCCGAATGAGCCTTCTCTGATTATCCAGATGAAGGCATTCTGATGATCCTGCAGCGCCACCTGCAGGACGTGTCTCCCACCGGCCCGCCGCAGCGCCGGGTCTTTGGGGAGACAGCGACACCGTGATTCATGCGGTTATCGCATGCCGGCCTCGGTTCTCAAGGGTGAAGCTGATTTGGCCAAGGCAGCCATTTCAGCTTCCTACAAAACTGGGCTTTACCTTTGAATGTACGCTAAAGAAGCATTTACCCATATGTTTATGTGCCTGCTTCATGAATTTAACTTGAACTCTATGTTTTTAATACTAGGATTCATCCTATTTTTCTAACAAAAAAAAAGAAAAAAAATTTAAAATATTTATACTGTTGTCCTGAGATCTACAGTACAACTTTCCATATGAAAACCATGTTTTTTCGCTATTAAAGTTTATTTTTAATTTTAAAATGTATCGAGTGGGTTTCATGCAGTCGTTTTACGAGGTGCGTTTCCCCAGCACAGACCGCTTTGATGTGGTCCTGAGTCCTACGCTCGGCATCTGTAGTAATTACATTTGTACACGAGAGGGCAGTCGCAGCACACAGAAACGCCACCGCATCAAAAACAACGGTAAATAGATGCTAACCGGAAATTTTTAAATAATTTAATCTCATTTGGCTGCAATTGACAATTATTAAGCATATATTAGCAGAATCATTAGAAATTCGCCAAACGCATTGTAATTGTAATAACCAAATTTCAGTATCTAAAACAAAAGGTTTTTACTTCTATGTACACGTTTTCCATATCGCTACTCCATCATACCTATTAACAGGAAAACTCAACACAGAGCAATTTAAAAACAAAAAGTTTAATTTTTTTTCTTCTGATACAAAAGTGTTCTTAAATAAGGCAGAACTAAGAAGTTTTTTTCTTAGTTTGTACAAAGATAAATTAGCATTTTATAATACAGTAATAACAAAACGCCTGTTTTAAAAAAATATTTTAAAGTACTTCACTGTGTCCCAGCCTAGGAATTGCTAACTCCCTAAAATGTACTTGTCCCTGGACCCTTAAAAATGATTTTTTTCTGAGTTACATACATTCAAAGGGCTAACAGAAAAGCCCTTTCAGGGATTGCAGAGCTACTCAGTGCCCTTGAGTTCATCACCCACATAACTGCGGCGTGTGCTGAACCTTCGCCCCTCACTGCCGTCAGTTTCCTGCGACATGTAGCATGTGCTACGATTCCGCATTCGAGCTCTTCGAGATTCCACCAAAACAAGATCACTAGACAGCTCAGGAGGACCCTGCGGGGGACATTTCAATTTATGATAAAAAAATAATGGTTTGATTCTCCGCAGTCTCTGCGTCTCTAACCTCGAAAACACACTAAAACAAGAGCTAGTGCACTGAGAAAAATAAGACTTAAACAGGATTCATGGAGGATGAATGGAAACACTTTTAAAATGCATTTTCTCACCTTTGTGAGCAAAATAACCCGTCCAAATAGCTGAGGACCAAACTTTAAAAAGTGAGACTCTTCTCCAAGCACCATTGTAGTTCAGCTCCTGCGTCTGAGCTTGGAATCAGCACAGCTTAAAATTGAGGGGGATCATCCCCCGTCCAGCCACACCCCCCTCTGCGGGCCCGATGCGAGCGCTCTGACGCTGTCTTTCCACACTGCACTTCTCTTTCATAAGACATCTGCGCTACCACTGTCCAGTGTACGGTTCATTTAAAAACACAAGAACGGAAACTAAGAACAAAGTACTCTTAAAAATGCATAAGGAGGGACCGAGGCGTCACACAACCGCCATCCCGTGACTGCTGTCCAGCTCCGCTGTCGCAGGGCGGCTGGAGGACGGCACCCCCAAGTGGAGCCCGTCAAACCTGCGCAGGAGGCCTCGTGCGTCACTTGGGCTGCCCGCGACCCGCTGCCAGCGTGTGGGGGGCCTGTGCTCGCGTCCCAGCTCCTCCTGCAGTCCCTTGCCTTGGGGAGGGTCCTGAGAACCACACCCCCCCACCCTCAGCTCCAGGCCATTTCTGCATCCTCACACCACCGTCTCGCTGCCCTTGACCGGCTTGACCCAGCCACCGGGCCTGCCCCCCCTCTTGGTCCTGCCCGAGCCGACCAGCCGGCCGGAACACTTCTGCCAGGTGTGCAGCGTCTTGGCTGACCAGACCCACATGCCCGACGTGATGCCCACCAGCAGCGACATGAAGATCTTCAGCATCTCCACTGCCAGGTACGAGTCATGCGCCGAGCGCCGGAAGTCGCCCCAGTTGGAGATCTCGTAGAAGTAGCAGGCGACCACGCAGCTGGCCGGCACCATGTAGAGAACGGAGAAAACGCCAATCTTCACCATCAGTCGCTCTAGTTTATCCGTCTTGGTGCCGTCCTTCTGCAGGTTGGAGCGGATCTTGAAGAGCGCCATCAGGCCGGCGCCAATAAAGAGAGTGCCGACCACCAAGTACGTGAAGAGTGGCGCCACCACAAAGCCCGTCAGGGCGTCCACGTGCTGGTTGCCCACATAGCAGAGCCCCGTGAGATCATCAGCGTCCACCAGCCGCATGATCAGCACCACGATGGTCTTGACGGCCGGGATGGCCCAGGCGGCGATGTGGAAGTAGGAGCTGTGCATCTCAATGGCCTCGTGGCCCCACTTCAGGCCGGCCGCCAGGAACCAGGTGAGCGTGAGCACCACCCACCAGATGGAGCTGGCCATGCCGAAGAAGTACATGAGGAGGAAGACGATGGCGCAGCCCGTGTTCTTGAGGCCCTCCTGGATGAGCACGGGGACGGCGGCCTCGTCCAGGTCGCAGGAGGTGCGCTCGCGGCCCAGCGTCAGCCGCACGATGAAGGCCACGCTGTAGATGTTGTAGCACATGCTGAGGAAGATGATGGGCCGCTCGGGGTAGGAGAAGCGCGAGGAGTCGATGAGGAAGGTAAGCACAGTGAAGGCGGTGGACAGGAAGCAGAGGACGGCCCAGACGGCCATCCAGACGTCAGCGAAGAGCTTGGTCTGGCGTGGGTAGAGCCCGGCGTCATAGCCACACTGCAGCACACAGCTCATGCTGCGCTTCGCCCAGGTGTACTGCTCTGGGCTGGAGCCCAGGGCGTGGCACTCCTCCTCCATTGGCTGCAGGGTGCGGATGGTGTGGTACGGGGGGTCCTCATCCCCCGGGCCCTCCATGCACATGTGGTTCTGGTCGTTCTGCGGCGGGAAGAGGCTGCAGTTGAGGAGCTCGGGCCACGCGAAGCCGAACTCCGTCAGCACGGGGAGGCACTTGCGCTTGACGGACTGGCACATGCTGCTGCAGGGCCCGATGGGGATGGGAACCTTGTCGGTGCACATGGGCACATAAACCGCGCACAGGAAGAACTGTGGAAGAACGTGAGAGGAGACGGAGCGTCAGAAGCCGCTCGATCCAAGGAGGCACAAACCCAGCAAATTATACCTACGAAAAAGAGAAGACGACTAAAACTAAAACTTAATACAAATAGATTTAAATTAATTAATTACCCTATCATAAAGCATAGCGCAAATTTCTATATCCAGACTTAAGACGCTTTTGTGCAACATTGCACCCTGTCTTCAAATTACCGGCATATAAGCAAAAAAAATGCGTTTTTATATCCGCTGTTTAAGTAAACAAGGTAAATTGCTAAGGTAAAAACAGTGATAAGCGAAGTAGGCAAGCGTACAGCGAAGGGACAGGTACAGGAATAAGGTGTCGAATAAACGCTAGTGTGCGCTGGGTTTCGCGCTGGAAATAGGAAACGTCGGATTTTCACAGCGGTCGCACTGGGTTTACATCCATAACCACCGCAGGAAATTGCTACAAGAAACTGCTGAGATTTAAGGGCTCCCTTAAATAAGAGCAAATATATACCTACAAAACCATGTCCGGGACTCAAAAACTGTGTTGATACCGCGGTCTACCTTTCCTCTTAAAAACACTAAAGCATGTATAACTGCTATAATCACATTACATTTTATTGCGTGACCAGGGATACATGAACAGCCAACAAAAAAAATCACAATTTCGGGAAAGCTAATTAAGACGAACAGACCCTGAGCTGACTGGAGCAGCCGTACTGGATGAGCGGGGTAAAAGTTGTCAGCTGTAACTCTGCGTCCGACTGCAACACGTTTCCCACCAGGTTGGGCATCTTTGTCACGTTGTATCCCAGATCCTGACACATAGATATCCGGATAGGATCGCAGGTCATCTCGTCCTCGTCCCCGAAAGCGTCCGCAAGCACCGAGTGGTCGCACAGGAGTGTCAGCAAAAGCAGCACGATATCCAGACCCCAAATCCCATGCATTTTTACAGGCTGTAAATCCCAGTGTCTTAAAAATTACTCGCGGACGGTCTTGCGTCCAGAAAACAAACGTTTGTCCCTGCAGTGTAAGCCAAAAGCAGGACTATGTGGAACAAAAATAAAATGCAGGAAAAAATCTTTGTAGATCGGCGTATCCTACAGCAGCAGTGTACTGTCGATAAGCACCAAAACTTTATTTTGAGGGAAAAACAGAAGGCTTCTGCATAGCGAGTCCTCCCAGCGCTCGGGCGATCGCCGCGGTTTCTGGGTTACCTCCCCAGCTTAGTTTGGTAAAGAAGCGACTTGGAGCGACTCTCCCACCGCGGAGTCCAGCCAATGAGGCTCAGCTGGTCCCGGGCGGGGGCGGGACTCCGGCCGCCCCTAGTCGCACTCTCACCCCAGAGATTTGTGTGTTTACACGTTCACGGACATTTGCACCACAAATATCATATGCATGGGTTATACAATGCGTTCATCATATAAACATCACTGCGCCGGCGGGGGCACAATTTATTTTATACCACTATCCCAGTTCCGAATGGCCCCGTATCGCCCTGTAGCCTGTTACGAAGTAAGCATAATCGAATATTTATAAAATTTTTAACAATCTAGTTATAATTGGTCGTTATGAGTGCGAAAATTCATTTCACGTGTCACGAGCAATTGAGTCTGTTTATAATTTCAGCACTCTATCAGAAACTTTTAGATTTGGCCCCTTTAATGTAGCCGTGTTTTTATTTACTCTTCTGCCCTGACCCGAGTATTCCCGAGTTCAGATAAACTACAGAGCAGGTATACAAAACAGACAAGGGCGTTTACATTTGCCTGAGATAAATCACTGTCGGACACGCCGTACGCCTCCTTCTTTTAATTCACATCAACATGTTGAAAAGAACCCCACCCCCACCCCCCCGGCCGCCCAAAGGACGTAATAGGTCTGCTTTGCCCTAAAATAAGCACACCGATGTATTTTGGTGCAAAGGCGACCTCTGCATCCCTCTCGCTTGATTGAATTCTCCTGCTATCAGCGCACGCAAAGGTCAATGAAGATAAATTAGCAAAAGCCTGGAAACGATGCTCTGATGTTTCTCTGATCTGACCTCACTCGGGACCCTCCTCTGCAGCAAGGGCCTGGAAAGCACGAAAAGTAGCTATTACTGATGGTCCGAAGAGCCAAATCGTTATATATATCGATAAACAAAGCGCTACTCCAGTAACAGAGCGCCATGCAAAAGTATGACCAACATGCATTTTTTGTTTCAAATTAACATTGGCTTTTATTATGTTTCAGATTTACATGGAGAAATTCTACATAGAAATGTGATAACTCTCAGGTTGTCCAATCCATATTTCTCTGCAGCCCGTCATTACTATTGGTCCAAGAACAATTCCCCGCAGGATCGTTTGGCCGGAGAGTGACACCAACACCCTGTCCGCCGCTTTCTGTGCCCGGTACTGCCTTTCAGCTGCGACCATATTCTGTCAGTGGATCTTTTCATTTTAATTCTTAATTCCTATCAGACGTGACTTTAACATTAATATTTTAAATACACCATTTTGAGGCATCAGAACAATAATGACAACAACATTAACCTATTATCCTCGGAGAGACAATACAATTACAACGTGGTGATGAGGAATTGATTTGCTAATGTCAGATACGAAGTCCCGAATGGGAATCGTTTATTCCAATAAATCTCCCTCTCGCTCCTGTTCTGCCTATGCGTAAGTACTTTTTAGCCAGTGAACAAAGATAATCTCGGTGGTCTGCAGATCAAACAGGCTGTAGAGCCGTCGAGCGCTTAATTAAAACGGTCTAATCAACAGGCTGTCTTCCGTGTTAACTGTGGGGGGAGGCCGCAACCAACCTCTCAGGAGCCCTTGTGCAAATTTACTCTTGGGATGGTGATCGAATAACGTAGGGGGTCTGGCGGATGATGTTTGCTACAAAGGCAGCTCTCATTCAGGCTGCTCGGTTACCAGTGGGAGGAACAGATTACCCGATTGACCAGGCTCTGAAGTCGCATCCACCTTCCCCAGAGACCAAGGGGGGCAGAACGAGATTCAAGTATCCGAATTCCCCTGGATCCCTGTGTGTTTGTGTCCGTGAGAGAAGAGTATAGATATGCGTCCTGGCTGGGGTTTAGCCGCGATAGACTTTGGAACGTCGTCTATATTAAAGAAGAAAAATGAAAACTACAGCGCGCTTTCAAATAGAGGAAGAGTTTAAAAGTTATTTTGTTTAATTTCCATGTAGGACAGATGTTACCGAATGTGACCCAGGATTGTCTTTACAGTTCATTTTTAAATAAATGTAATTGATCGTTACAATGCAATATACAGTGAAATATGTATAAATTCGTTAACACTTTACTTGATGGGGCACAAATACTTAGTAATAACTCAGTTACTACTTAAGTACAAATCATGAACAAACATAGTTGCTACTTGAGATAAAAGATGCGTCACGATTCATCAAAGATGAATAAACTTCAGATGAGTATATATAACTAAGAATGTTTGCGGTTAATTATTACATAGGTAATAGTATGACTAAGCCTACATTATTTGTGCCCGTCAAGTAAAGTGTTACCATTAACTCTTTACACCCTACTGAAAGGTTAAGATTTATATAGGATATGCACCCTCCCTATTTTACGACAGAAATACTTCCCAAAATATCAAGTGCGGCAGATGAAGCGTACACCAGCCGTGAGATGTAAAACGAGGTTTATGTGATTGTTTTAAGAAGTCGGGGAAGGCGAGGCGTCCGGTTGCACGGTGTGTCTGTGAGTGAGCGTGATACACGGATCCGATAGCCTCGGAATGAGCTGCGGCAGCGCTTCCTCGCGGCTTTGGTAGCCTCGGTTAATCTTTAAATGACAGCGCGCCCTGTGATAGCTCCCTCTCACCGCCCTCATTCTCGGAAATAAATTTGGCCGTGTTGAAGTCTTAACTGCATCTGACATACGTAGGACATCCATATTTTTGCGCTGACAGACACATGACATTTCATCCGGCCCTTTAGTCAGTAGAAAGTTATGCCGTTAATACCGCGGTTTTCGGTTGAAATCCGAGTAGGTCACTTGTAATTTATCTTCGGTTTACTTATGATTCAATTAAGAAATACACAAGATCATCGTTCAAGCGTAAGCCTCAACCAAATATTAAATTTGAACCATGCTAAAAACATACAGGCTTACTTTTTAATGTAGCCTATAATCAAACATTAAAAAAAACACAAGGATATAATCCAATTCTCTCCTTTCTTCGTGACATACGAAATGAATGTGACAGTTTAAAAGTGTAAAACTTATTTCCATCCGTCCTCCAGGCGTTTATGCGGGACTGGCTGCGTGCATGCGGCACAGCTAGGTCAGGGGTGCACGCTGCAAACTCGTCTCAGAATACAAACCATGCGCGATTTGGAGACGCCGATAAGCCAAAAATGGAAACGAAATATCCAGAAGAAACTCGCGCATCATAAGACGAAAATGCAAACATGGCAACACTCACATAAAGGCACGGGGAAGCAGCGAGCACACATACTAACACAAGCGAATCCCTAGCGTGGTGTTTATTCCGCAGGCTGGGTGTATAATTAGTGTTGGGGTTTGATTTATTCTTATATCAAACGGTTAAAATTGGACTCCGCTGTATATAATGTGGGCTTCCAAACATGTGTTTACTTGATCATCGGATTAAATGTCAAAGGCCGCTGTGTCCTGCAGTAACCCCCACTGCCACACTTTGCGCGGTGCTACTGTACAGTTTGAAACCCGTTCAACCAGCTCGCAACCGGAGTGTCCTTTTGATTTTAGCCCCTTATATTATATCGTAGTATAAATGTAAAGTAGTATTTTTAAATGACCTTTGGTGTTAATGCTACATTCATCTACAAAACAATAGGTCATTCTTTTTCCACAATACGGGACCTTGTAGAACACTTACCGCAGACTCTGCACTAGATGGTGTCGATCAGGGGTCGGGATTGTGGTGTTAATACGATGCTTAACTGTCGTAAATGAGTCTGTTTTACAATGTAACGCTCATTATCGGCCACTGCTTTTGAGAACCATTATGTTGAGATCTTTAAAGCTGTGGGAAGATGTAATAGTTTACATACAGCCTTCCTCGTCAGGTCTACTTCTAAGCCTGAACGATGAATTTGATGCAAGGAACAGATAGTTACATTTAAGTTGGGTATGCGATTCAAATACTTGCCACTCTGGGTTGGGGACGTACATCGATGTGTGTTTTCACGTACAATATTTTATTAAAAGTAATGCAAGCGCGTGCCCATTCCTGACCAGTCGGCATTTTTATGCACCTGCAGATATTTTCGGCGTTTGCGAGGCCCTGCCTGGCAGCTGCCCATGGAGGGGACGCGGAGCTGGGCTGCCAGTGACCACAGGGACAATGCCCCCCCGCCCATTAGCTATTCTGGCCCCACCGCTCACAGCTTGACCCACTTACAGCAAGTGAGAATGTGCGACTGATCAGATAGCTGGAGTAGGGGGGACTTTTGGGAGGGGGCATGGAAATGGTCTGTCAGCTCTGGGCTGATGGTTGTGGAGTAATTTTGTCAATTGGGAGAAACAGCTGTAGATTCTGCAGACGCATTCATTGGAGTGAAATGGATTTTAGAAACATGTTTAAAATGTCTGTAGCATGTCTACCAGAAAAAATATCCAAGTTTCTTTAAAAAAATGCACTATTGACCTCTTAGGGAAATGGAGCCAAAACTGGCCTGTCTTTGGTAATGTAGAATGTGACCGTTCTCAGGAGACAGGGAATGGATTGTTGATTTAAAATACCATCTTCCTGTTTTTTTCTCAAATTCTAAGAATGGAGGGAGCCCCCTAGGGGTGGGGTAACTCTGGTCTCCCACATTAAAATCAGCAGTCCAGAGCTAATCTCACTTACAGTTAGTGAATGTCCATTTAGTTCTGGTTCTGGTTGCAGGCCGTACAATGGTGCAGAAGTTGAAGTCGATTCCAAGCACCTGCAGGCTGTCAGGGTCACGTATTAATGGGCGCTTTTATGCTGAGAATTTGAACAAAAGGCATTTAAACCAAAACCAACCTTTGAAAGTGTGAGTTTAATGGTTGGCACCGAGTGCGACTCTAAATGATACACAGCATAGGCCAGAGCCTCCCCATGTGAGGCCGGATCAGGTGACCGGCACCCCGGCGCATTGTGTGCTACCTGCCCCCCCCCCGCGTACGTAATTATCACCTGTTACAGGAGCGGCCGGCCCACACTTGCAGC